ATTCATTCGGTTAATCATAAACAACGTAGAGCCTGGACATTAATATGCCTTATTCTAAGTTGTCACACCAAATCAGCACAAGATGAGATACGTAGTAAAAGAATTACAAAAACAACAACAAGGATATTACAATTAATATCATTGGATTAATTACCTTATGTTTCTGCAGAAATTCATCAGTAATAGACCAAGGGGCATCATTTATAACTTCATCCACATAACGACAATGTCTTATAGCTTCATAACGCTCTTTTTCATTCATGACTGTACGACCCTTATAATGGTGAACATCTGCATCATTAGAGACTGGGATAAAATTGCAGCATGTGAATCAAAGTAAGAATCAATCAGTACAAATATTTATTGAAAAAATGAAATGGTGTCATTTGTTTATCAGAAAATAAGTTACAAAACGTAACTTGGTAGTTTTACATGTCACTTCATGCCTAAGCTTTAAACAATACCTAACGGGTAGACTGAAGAGAACAGTTTACTGTCAAAATTAAACTTTCTTTTATTGATGTAACTAAATGAAATCATGATTAAATTCTGACAAATTTTATAAAGATTTATCATTGTCACTCTAAAATTATCTCTTAAGATGCTTTACCACCAATAATCAAATCAAACTTACCACCAACAATAAGGTATGTGTCAGGGAAGGCACACTTCGCTTGCATTAACTGACGAGCATGGCCAGAATGAAACATATCATATGCTCCATCAGCATACACACGGACTGGTCTAGGAGCTAAAATAACAAGACAGTAAGAAATGTATGAGTTTTAGTTGAAATTTTTCGGAGGAGTATCGACAAGGTTTATGCATATGGTTGTATAGTTAACTGCACAATATAAAAAAATTACTATTAATTTTAACGAGGTAGTGGTTCTTTGTCTTCGCTTTTGAATTATTTTATAATTTTTTCTCCACGGACTCACATTTTCCTTCGCAATAATATTTTCAATATCCAATCTTCTCTACTACCAATAAGACTGTTGCGACCTCTACTACTCCAATATCGTATCATGCTGTACTGATATGGTGTGGCAATTTGAAATGATGTACATGTGTCAAGTTCCACGTTGCATATGACTGACTGGCTTAGTAGTTAAGGGATTTAATGTTTAGCCATTGATTTCCAGGCTCGAAGCCTGCTTCACCTATTTTGGCTTTCAGCATTTACGTAGTATCACTAGCCTTTACAGTATGGTTCGAAGCCAAGTACACTTATCTGCACTTCGTAAATAAGTTGAAATGAATACTGTCAATTTATTTCATGAAATACTTCTGCCAAATACTTGCTAGAGATACCATAATTAGTAGGTATACATGCAAACAAAAGCAATAAGAAATCTGTGAGCTGAAGCGTGGATCACATGGTAAGTCATAACGAACTAATGGTAATTAGTCATTTCGTTCAACGAGTTTCTAAACAGCATTTGCCAACATATGTTTACAACAAAGATGTTAACTAAAACAGGATTACATAAATAAAGATGGTTTTGTCAACATTTATGCACTGCATTGATTAATTAGGACAGAGTAAAAACTCAACGAAGGAACGAAAGTATATGAAAATGAACAGAATTTTAGTAAACACAAGATAAATATACATAAGCCATAAGTATGTCTAAGTTTCGAAATAGATAAAGAACGACAGATCATGTGCTACTATATCGTAGTTAGAAGTTGCATATATGTAACAATGGATATGCTAATTCATCAGTTTTTAACATTTCGACGACTGTGGAAAAATCTACATTTACAAAATATCAATCGGTAGCTTTATACGCTGATGACATTTCTAGGAGGTGACCATCTTTTCCTCTTTCAACCTACTTTCACCTACGTTAACACTACATATAGAGGCGGTAAAACTTGGACAGAGTTGCAAATTTAACATAGAATTAAGAACAGTCGGTTAATTTTAAAAATATTTTAAAGCATAAATTAAAGAACAGATTCTGTTTAGTTTCTTATTTGTTATATTTCTGTATCTCAGGTTATTTGTTTACATTAATATATTTTGGATATCAGAGAAGTATTTTATTTGAAGTTCATATTATTACCGCAATAAAAATGAACAAAAAGCATTTTGGACTTATTAGCACTGTGTATAGTTTCTCTGTTAATTGTTACTGATTTATCCATTTTAATGACGACTACAACAACAGTTAGTTTGATTTAATGGTGTAGACGCTTAAATCGCTGAAAGTCAGTTACTACTGGGTTTTCCTACCATTGTTTTGTGAGTCGATGTAAGCTAGACCACCGTTAAAAGTTTGGAAGCTCTAAACGGCCGTTTCTTCCTAGTATGGAACTTCTCAGCAATATGCATCTACGATCCTGCGTGCAGGACTCTGACCCAAGACCTTTGGTCTCGCACGCGAACGCTTTACCTCTAGACCACTGAGCCGGAATACAACGGTGTTAATGTCTAACCTCAATCGATCCATGATCTTGTATAACCATTCATCTTTTGTCTGAGGTAAATACCTGTTTCTACACGACACGGATTGTACTCCACTGGTCACGGCTCCTCACTAGAACTCTAGGAAACCCATCTTGAAGTCAGTCACTAGTGAGCACATGATTTTTATTAGAATAGGGGTTTGTGGAGATTGTAGTGGTTTTAATAGTTGAATTCATAAGTCGACTAGGTCAACGTGCAAAATAATTAGAATTGAAAAGATGCAATATTTATCAGACGCATATAGAAGGGTGAATGTGTTTGTATGAATTTAAACAAAAATTACGTATATTTAGATAAAGATAATTAAGCAAAACGCGACTCTACCTTGGCCAGATTTAGCCATTTCTAAAGTAATTTTAATTGTATAATCGCATGCATGGTTTGTCGCCATAGCTGATGGTTCGTACCAAAATGGAGCAGGGGAACGATATGCCAATGAATGTAAAGTTAACTGAGGTAGTAAATTATCATCACTAGTTATTAATGAATGATTTCCAACCTTAGTCTCATTAGAAGTAACATTATCCAAATTTGATGACGTTGTAGAGCAAGATACTTCAGATGTATGTATCTTATTATCGTTATTCTGAAATGAATTAGATTGTGTTTGTTCTGTGATTTCGGGTAATTTAGAAGTTGTTAAGTTATCTTTTGAGTCTTGAACGGATGATTCTTCACTAAGGTATGTCCCATGATAATCATATTTCCTACCATTTATAGCTTCAGCAGATGATTCATGATCAGTTGATATGATAGGGATCATTTTACGATAATAAAATCCAAGTATTTAAACTGTGTCTACGTAAATTGTGCAGAAAATAACTGGGTATTAATAGTCTTCTTAATCTGTTTGGATTACAAAGGTCTATATAATTAAAAAATAATAATTCATATTAGAGTTGCAGCATTATACTCAAATTACATACAATCAACAAATACACAAAACGAACTACAAAACACCAATCGGTATTCTATACTAATACGATACTGCAGAGGTGAGATTATCTGTTGTTAATAAGTGGAGGAGGAGAAGGAGCAATGATCAAAATAACGCCATTTCAAAGTTAAATGTCTAAAGAAATAAGTCTTACATCATTTAATACGGGTTGAAATTTTCTTTTCTCTTAATTGAGTTATTAACATTTATATATATTACAGATGGACGTGGAAGATAACATTGTGTTCATTTAAAAAAAAACATAATTACAACACAAACTAGCTATTTTATTTTCAAAAGATTTTAGTTGTTTATTTACTTAAACTAACGACAAAAATAACTTTATTAAATTATTACAATTCAATGGTTATTCAATTATTGTTTAAAGTCATGTTAATTTACTGCATTTTTGAGTAAATATGAACAATGATATCGATTAAGAAAAGATGAACTTTATGAGAGAAATGTAGTGAGAATATGTAACATATGTATAAGTAAACAATTAAACTCAAGTAAAACTAGGGCGTATTGTAATTGTAATGAATATGTACAAAATCATTATTACTATAAGACATATTTGGAACGTTGAGTAATGGACAAATGACATTTATAAAAAAATGTGTAAAACTAAGATTACGGCTACGTAATTACAGATATGAGTCTTGATTCATCTGCTAAAATGTTTCTGAAGTATTGGACGGTTTGTTAGAATATATGTTTACAATAGCGATCGCTTTTTTAAGAACGAGGGCTAAGTTACGTTCACATAAAATAAGCTAATTTTTAGAACTGTACATCTGGATATTTAGCTACGAGTCTGACTGGAAAACTCATGACGAAGTTGCAGACAGCGACAAATTAGATAGTAGTCAGGTATGGGTTAGTATTAATGATAATCTTAGGTCGACTTCAAATATTGTAGAAGGATTTTAAAAGTGAACATGGTTATATTATTAGTTGAAGAATGACCGATAGGGAAATATATGTATATAGAGTAGATGGAAAATGGTTAGCGGCGGAATCTAGAACACGCGTTTCGTTATACTTGCGACTCGTCAAAAAGCACATATACCAACAACTCATCAAACTTCAGTTTAAATATCAACAACAGGGCAATTCAAACTACTAAAAACTAGATAAAATTTAATACGCCCTTTTTGTTAATTGATTCGGGTTTCTGAAAACCTATTAGGTCACATTTGGAACTGAAGTTCATTGGTTTTCGTATTTAAAGTACAATTATTGAGTCAGAAAAGTGTACCCCGGCTCTAAATGCCCAATTTTAAGGAAGAATTTAGCACAAATAAACCCAAAAACAGGTTTCTTATATAGTTTATCACATTAATATATAAGTAGTCGATTGGACATTTTTATATAGCATATTAATTCAACCTTATAACATATCTAATTAAAATGCAGACTATCAACAAAGGGATCTAGGATGAACAAATAGTATAGAAAACAGCATCACAAAAGTGAACCATAAGACAGAAAAAACAAAGAAAAACATTAACATCTAGTGAAAATAGGTGTATATTTACAAAAGTTTGAAAAGAACATAATAATGTGCAAACTAATTGAAAGATTTTAGGAAGCTGCAATAATACTCAATGGCTCTTGTAAATTTTGTACTAAAGCATTCATCTTAGCTCGTAACATTCCCAAACCCACATCTTTGGAGGCATGGAGGCAAAGAAGAACTGACGCTACACGTGTAATTATTAGTCTGCCTTCAGACAATTTCAAGATTATTTCCTGGACAGTATCCTAAAAGTAAATAGGTAAGACAAATATTGTGTTTTAAATAATTTTATCACAAAATATTCACGGCATAATTAGCATCAAGTTTTTAAAAAAACGTTCCACTTACTTATGAGTAGTACAGTTATAGGAAGTATCTTCTGAAGCACTGATAACTTAAATTCACGACATATTATTTCTGGAAATATCTGGTACGGCGAGATTTGGCACTTGAATGATAAGAATGATATATATATATATATATATATATATATATATATATATATATATATATATATATATATATATATATATATATATATATTCTAGACAATATGGGAAGAGATAAACAGGTTTGTACACTTGCATACAGACCATGATTATTATACGAGATGTATTATAAGTACCGACTACCTAAACCTTGAAGCAGGAACGAAGCCCATAACCTAATGTTGGAATGTATAGCCTACAAACAACAGCTCCGTACGAAATAAAAATATCTGCTCAGAGAACTGAATGGAAGTGTTCATACAAAATTCGGAAATTAACACTTATTACACACACGTACGACCGAGAAACATTTAGACCAGTAATAAGTTTATCAAAAACGCTCAGCATCCTATTTGCATTTTGGAGTAAAAATTATTATTTACCTTTGGAATACTGATAACAGGATGTAATTAGGCAATTATTGACCAGCTTTTTTACTCTGATTTCAACCAATGGATATACATACTTAACGAAACAGAAAATTTGGAGAAAAATGTCTTGATAAAATTACTAAAATCAAGAGGCTAAGTGAGATATTTCGACGAAGGCCGACCAAAGTTTGTTTTTGCAAATGACAATAATGGTAAATCTTTTTTAGGAATGATGATACCAGAAAATTAATTCGATATAGTCTTGATTCCTGATGACTAGACTAAATTTATGGTAGCTTAGATTAACGCATAAAACGAAAAACGGGTACGACGTTACATTTTTTTCGTGTATTGCATTATGACACTTGAGGCCTACTGACAATAACTGATGCAGTCAGTCAGTAACAACGTAGAACTTCGTACCTACGTACATCAGTTCGAGTTGTCATACCACATTAGCATACAGACACAATTGTCGATTCAAATCCCATAGTGGTAGAGGTAGTACGAGTATAAGCAGTAATAGGAAAGAATAGGGCTTGAAAATTCTATTCAAGGAGTATAATCCAGTGAAATAAATTTGGAAAGAGAAAAAGAGACAAGGAGAATTCAGAAGATTATAATTTGGGAGAACACAAAGAGTGGATGCACCTGCGCCACTGCAAACGATTTTGAGCCATGTCATTCAGAGTCTCTAACCATCGGTTGCAATCATCTCTCGGTCCCCAACCAGGTAGTTTACACCTACCAATATGACTCAGTCCACTTGCCGGTGACTTCATGTATTTGTGCCATGTTTTAGTCTGGACGCCCCTAGCTTTCTTCTAAACTACTCTTGCACCATAAAACATCGCACATTGGGGCAGTCGGTGGTTGAGCATACGTAACACATGTCCCAGCCATCTTAACTGATGAAATGTTATTAATTCCTCAATTGATTTACCATCCTTACCTAGTACCCGTGTCCTAGCAACTACAGTACTTTGTCATCTAACCTAGTATATATTAAGAAACATCGCCCGTCGAGGTACATGGTGGCTAAAAATTGTCCTAACCACCCCAATCGATGAAGATTCATGACCACACCAACCGATTATTAGACAATCCAATACTAAGATACACAAATGGCGAGTAGTAGAAAACCAATATTTACAACGTAGAATCCGGTACGTATGTACATTGGTTCAAGTTGCCATACCCCAATTAGCACTGAGATGAAATTTTCAGACCAAATCCCAGAATAATAGAGGTAGTAATAGTATCAGCGGCAACAGAAAAGATCAGACATGGAAGATATGATCTAAGGAAACACAATTAGTGAAATGAAAATTGTGGAATTCAGAAGCTTAGGACCTGAGGAAAGAGAATGAAAGCACTTGTGACATTACCAACGATTTTGAGCCATATCATTCAATCTTTAAACATTGGTTATGATAATCACACGGACCCCAACCCGGTAGTCCACATTTATTAAGATGGCTCAGTCTGGTTGTCAGCGACTTCATGGACTGGTGCCATGTTTTGATTTGGCCACCCTTAACTTTCAGCCTACTCCTACACAAGACAATATCGACCATCGAGGTAGGAGATGGGTGGACATATGTAACACATGTCCCAACTACCTCAGTTGATGAAAATCTACCACATAATCAATCGATTTGCCATCTTTACCTAGAACCCTATTCCCAACCCAGAGATTGGTTACCCGGTGGTCCCAAAATACATGAATAGTGCTTCAAAGACACCTATAATAGAATACTAGTAACTCGAGAATACCTTATATCTTTAATGGCCATGTTTCACGCTGATAAAGTAGAACACAGCTGACTGCTGAGCAGTAAACTCGTCTTTCGGTTGGAAGACGGATATCTCCCCTACGCCACAATTGATTGAAATTGGCAAAAGCCGATATGGTCTTCTGAATCCGTGGCAGGGTTTCGTCAGACACCAGACCATCAGGACTGATGAGATAGAAGAAGCAGTTGATGCATCTAACTGCTTCACTCCCTGTCATTAAATAAGGAAATGTCACAAGCAAATCCTGAAGCGACATTTTGCGTTTGGAGGAAGAGGGCTGAATCACAAACATGCTTACATCATTACTTAGGGCGATCGGAAGACGGAATTTTTTAGCTTCTTAACTAAACAGAACTACATCATCTACGTATTCTAAGTCAAGAAATGAGTGGTCTGGTACAGGATCAATCCCTAAAAAGTCAAAGATGACGGTATTATCTCTAAAAGTACGTCTATGACAAAGTAAGATAAAAATGGGGAAAGCGGACAACTTTGACGAATATCACTTGAAGTAATCGATTCCTATGAAAGTCCACCATGAACTATGATTCGACCAGTAGTGTTCAAATAGAGAGCATGTACAAGGTTATCGTACTTCTTAGGCACACCTTTCAATGAGACTGCCATAGAACCTCATGGTCAACAGTCAAACGTCGTCTTAATGTTAAGGAATACAACTACTGTTGAGCATCGAAAATCAAGTGTGCGTTACAGAATCTGTTGAGGAGTGAGTATTTGATTCATACATCCGAGTTCAAGTTCACGTATCACTAGTTCATCCACTTCATAAACTCACCATTGGATTACTACAAAAAGCTACTGTTAGTCCGTCGATATAATTACTTACAAAACACTGGTTATAAGTACGACTGAATGGAGTAACAACCAGATGAAAAGTCAGGCTAATTTGAAAAGAACTATTTAATGAATTAAACAGCCTTTACATAATTCGCATCAATAGAACACTACTTGTTAAATAGACAGTATTTATTAAATGCACAAGCTATGAAATACTAATCTATATATGGATTGCTATTGTTTTAGACAGGTATTTTATGACAACCATTACATAGAATGTCAAAATAACCATTGTGTCTAGATTATTAAATTAAGCATCCTGATAAACTTAAATTTAGAGCTGATTTTTTAAAAAGACCTGACTAACATTTACTCTATTTTATCAACCAAAATTACTAACAGTTAAAATTAGTCTAGACAACATATTCAGAACTTAAACTTTCTAATCTATGTTATTTCAATATTTTTTATGAACCACAGTTCATATAAACAAAGGATAGTGACTGAATAGAAATCTCTTCCTCATGCTGCTTTGGGTATGCAACTAACTACATAAGCATTTTCGAATTTTGAAAATTACCAAGCCTGATAGCAAATCTTTATGCCCCCGATATGTATAATGAATGATAACTTCTTGGGATCCATTTTCGGACCAATATTATGTGTATATTTTTATCTTATAATTGTTAAATAAATAAACTATTTATATTCATGTCCCGTGTTATGAGCTTTATTTTGACCTATGGACTATTATTATACGATTTACCATTCTTGAATTATGCCCTATCTATTAATTACTATCCCCCACATTCATAGCCACATTTGACCAAATCTTGTATAAATGTTGTTTCCTATTTTATGGTACGATGTGGTCTGTCTGGTTGGTATATAAACCCAGTATGCTCGAAATAAATGGTTCATATCGCAGAGGCTAAAATTGGTTTTTTCGACTTAACAGGCAGAGCTAGGCGAGGAGCAGGAACGATAAGTACTCTAGACTGCTCGTACAGGTTTCACGCGTCATTGATCCGATCGATAATTCACTGCTATCTAATTGGGGGTATCATTACGTTATACATTAGCAGGGCAATCAGACTACAAGTTATAACACAAATAAGTGACTAAATATTCATCTCTAGTTTTAAAAAAGCTCATTTTTGTCTGACGATGAACTTTATTTGTAGACGTGTAATTTTAGGAGAAGGAACCAGAATCCATAGACACGAAATAGGAATATTAGTCTCGTCCTAATCATTGGATGAGAACAATCAAGTAGCTAAATTAGTCTTATATTTCGTTCGCATATATATTTGGCGCACTCCTGTACCAATATATGTGTTCAAATAAAAATTAAAAAAATAGAACTCTAAATGTATGTGACAAGCGTTGTCCGATTTTTTTGCAAGGAAGTCTGAATCCTGATGAGATATTGAGTGCAGATGTAGAAAATAGAACACAATGAAAAGTGGATTTCAGAAGACAAAGCTATTCTATGGTCGAGCCACTGTCACTAGCTGCGAATATGAATTAGGAAAAAAGGTAGTGGAAAACACAAGAGAACGAGCTAGTATAGAGTGCTACCACATGGATTCCTTGTTAGTTAAGTATAGTACACGTAGTTAGACAGTCAAATCGTCAACGTAAGATACAGCTATATATATATATATATATATATATATATATATATATATATATATATATATATATATATATTCAAGTCAGCATAAATCATATCAGCGTACCGAGAATAAATCAACAAGATGAAAAGCAAAGGATGGGAAGAATTGCAGAGAACAATGGAGGTCCAAGTATCAGAGATACATTTCAAAAGGACGGAACTTAAGGATGAGAAGTTGAAAATGACATTTAACTGAAGACTTAGAGGAGAATAGATGTATTCTCAGACTGGAAAACATGTTTGGATGAACAAAGTAATGATATGAAAAAATTACCGATTCACTGGACTCTAGTTGGCGCTGATATATATTCCAAACATTAGCTGCGATTGCGGCTTTAGATCGCTCACTATCACCAGCAAGGCTCGTGTAGGCAAGAAGAACACCTTCAGGATTAAATAACATAACTGATTGTATTCCGCCAGTATTCATCTTTCTTAAGGCAGAAGTAAGAGCACGTGGGCGGAGCATCTGGAATAAGGTAACTACTTCAGTTGTGCATTTAACGTAAATTTCAAAGATGAAATGTCATCTTAAATGATCACTTGTCATAAAGTCAAAGAATGACCAGATTAACTTCAATAAAGCCAGATTAAAATACTTACTATGTTCAAAGCTCAATTATCATACAATTTACACGAAAATAGTGAAAAAATGTATGGTTTATTTTTGCGACTAAATATAGTTAGCCAATATCACAAGAATCAGTAAAGTGTTGATTCGAGAAGAAATGAAGGGAATTTGTTTTGCTTTTGGCAACAAAGATGATCAACATAAATGTTAAAACGAAAATTATTCGCTGACTTAGAAAGACTTGCTACCAGCACATGTTCTCAAGAAATGTGCATACTACAATTTGGCCATTACGATCTACATTAGTTTGTGATGATGACAACTATTATATGCCTCCATACAGAAAACTACACTAATTTATGCACTGCAGGAACTGCCAAATCTCCATGGATCAATCCAATCAGTAGCTTCCAGTAACCCTCAAAAGATTTCCAGAACCCTATCCCAGCTTACCTTAGCATAGAGATTCTGGCAGGTAGTTGTGGACAAAAGATATAATTACGAAGATTATTTCATAGATTTGAGTAGTATTTTTCAAGACAGTTCAGATGTCAATTCCAAAGATAGCCAATAATTAGCATTTGCGAAAACCAAGTATTTTAGCACCGAACTTAATCCATTCAGTTTTCCTCTTTAAGAAACCAATTTGTTAAGGTGAACAAAATATCACTTTAGAACTAGCTTATGTTGTTGTCATATTACTAGGAGGACTATATAATAGCCTATTAAGATTACTGACGATTTCTGAAAGGTCATTTTGAGTGATCGCTCAAAATAATTTTAGCCTAAAGTATCTATATACTTAGAATGTCAACTCATTACTTCTGACAATCCACTTACGTAGGTACTTAAATGCGAGTGACACCGTCAAGAGAAAATCCAAAACGCGTACCTCTAACTTGGTCGCTCTCAAGGTTCAAACTCCAAACTTTTCTCGGTAGAATTGATTGATTGTATGTTCGTAGGACTATGTATCTGGGTAGTAGAAGAATATTCCTGGCTACAAAGAAATACAATTCTTGTAGTATTCTGACCAGAAATTCGGATTTCCGATTTAGATTTGCTTATTTGAGACAGAAGGTCGATGGTCTGTGTTAATCGCTTTTACTAAGCTTCTGTTAGTGTCCAGTGCTCTCTTGAATGAGTCAGTTGAAGTTTTAGGGGCCAATTCTTCCACCAGTAGGTTCTGAGGGTCTATAACTTGTTGTGAAAACCTGTATGGTAGATGTATTGTGTTGGGTCTTTGCTATTGAACGTGCTTTCTATGTCTTCTGAGTTGTCCTGATCTGGTAAAAAGGAATAGAGAAAATATGTCAGACCTGAAATCACTTCCAAGAATTCTATTCATTTAAACCGGACTACGCTTTAATCTGAAATGAAGCAGAGTTAAGAGGTCTAACTTCTAAAGCGGGCGTGCGTAAGAAGAAAATGCTCTGATGCTTTCCTAAGAAGTATGTAAAGCACTTGTAGAATGGAAGTGTCATGGATCTCAAATCATCAAATTATCTTTTAAAAAAGGAGGGGATTACAATGAATGTTATCCAGTGTTATGTACCCACCAACAACGACTATAAAGATCAGTTTTTCGAGAGGCTGCAATCGACTACAGAAAAGTGATCAGGGAACAGCCTTACCATCCTGATGGGAGACTTAAATACCAAAGTCCTAATGGACAATACCGATTGTCGAGATATTACGTGGTGACATGGACTGACTGGGAGAAAGGAACGAGAATGGCATTAGGTTTGCAAACTTATGTGCATTCAACGAAATGGTTTTAGCCAGTACCAAATATCTCCACAAACGCATACACAAAGCCATATGGGTCTCACCGGACCACACCACGAAGAACCAGATAGATCATATTCGCATCGGCAAAATTTCGCAAGGTCAATGGAAGATATGAGGACCGGGGGAGGAGCTGACATAGCTTCAGATCACCACCTAGTTTCAGCCAATTTAAAACTGAAGCTAAAGAAGAACTGGAAAACACGATAAACAGCAGTGAAAAGATTTAACAATGCCTTCCTTCGAGATATTGACAAACTCAACAAATTCAAGATAATTCTGAACGACAGGTTCCAAAGTTTACATGATAATAATAATAATAATTTATTCTCAAATAACAGTTTGTTACATGAGGCATGCCAGTTTACAGGCAAGATCAAATTGATACAAGTGATACAATATTTACTGTAGTAAATTACATAGCTGGGTTGATAATTTATAAGATATGAATCTAGATGGTTTTAATCAGTACCACAGTTGGCGCGCTTCATGAAAGTTGCGTTTCAGATGTGAGACTGATGGTCAAGGATAGGTCTATTGAAGGTGGGAGCTTCTATATGTCGCAACCTTATGTCCCTTTGGAATGTCTAAGGCTTTGAGGATGGTGCAGGATGAAATCTTTCGTTCCATATCACAAGGGGGCTGAAAGAAGGAGCAAGTAAAAGAAAGAACGAGAGGCAGAGTAGCCAATATTCATGAAGGAATGTTTAAGGTATGATTACTCAGTTTAATTTTCTTTTATTAAGGTATTTGTTAAGAAAGAGCATTTTAATAGGTAAAAGAAAATAAGTGTTAACAAGGTGTGAGTGGACATACAACTGACAAATAGAGGCAATTCGGAAAGGAGCTGAGAGTATGGGATTATTATTATTATTATTATTATTATTATTCACAAACATATTATGGGTACATAAGTGTTGTGAAGAAACCACTTTGGGTTTCTTCAGAAAATGCAATAATACACAATTTTCAATAATGTTAGCATTATACTTGCCATATTTAAAAAAATTAGAATAATAATAGTAGAATATTAATAATAATAAATCGGGTTTTTGTAATTCAGAAGAATATTGAATTGAGTTTAAAGAAGGAAATGGAGTAAATAAGGGAATAGAAATAAAGGAGACGTGAAATACTCAAACAGTGTAATAGGCGTGTTTATAAACACAGAACAAGAATAAACGGTTGTGTGTATCGTTAAATTAGTAACAAAAAATAATTAAAAAAGAATAATTTATCATTGTAGTAAGATATGACGCTAGAATAAATGTTTGTGCAGTGATAGTTTAGAGTGATGCTATGAAAGTCACAATTAAGTGAAAAGGATAATAAAATATCACTATGTATGAGTCATATATGCATAGTGAAAATAAAACGAATCTGAGAAGTTAATTTAAGTGTAACACAAGTTATTGTTTTAATTACAAACTTCGTAATCTTAAGAAGAGAAAAAAAAGAAGTGAACACCTAGTGAAAAGGTTCATCCATGATAAGAATAATAATTGTGTAATGAATATCAACGTCAGAAGGAAACCAGCAATTGAAAAAAACCAAATAAAAATCCTTTAAAGCACTCGGATGAATACATTTAGATCTATGTAATAGTATACAGAATGAAACAGGATATTAGTATAAATATTTGTGCAATAATAATTAAGATTGATGCTATGAAAGTCAAAATTGATTTCAAAGGACAATCTGGAGTTAAATATGTTTAGAAGGATAAGAAGAGATATAAAGAATACCTGTTCGGAGAACTAATAATGATATCAATAACGGTAATAATGTTAAACACGAACATAAGCAGACTTCATATATTAAGATAAAGAGAAATAATACAAAATAGACGTGAAAAGATTTAAAGTTTTTATTTTACTTTTCAAGCAATTAAATAAATGACGGACCTTGTTTGTATAAATCATTATTGAATACATTGATATTCAATAGGTGACATAATCCATTTTCGGAAAGAAAATCTTCAAGGAGACTTTTGAACCGGGTTGTAGTTTCACTGCAACGGAGGTTCACTGGCAGTGTTCCACATGGTTGAGTAGCGAATAAGGAAAAAATTCTGACGTAAGTTTGTGTGGGTTCTTGGAATCGCCAGAATGTTCTCCTTATTGCGTAGATTGTGGGATGATATCATAAGGTATGAAGGGAAGGATACCGATGAGTAGGAATTACCGTTAATGAGCCGGTAGATAAAGACAAGATTTAATTTGATACGTCTGATCCAAAGAGGTTCTACGTTGAGTTGTTGACATCTTTGGTAATAGTCTTTGTTATCGGAATACCCCAGAACAGCTTTGGTGAACTTTCTTTGAACACCTTCAATTCTAATCAGATCATTATGTCTACAATTACTGTAAACTAAAATACCATATTCAAGAATGGGTAAGATACATTTTCTGTATAGTAACAATCTCGATTCGATATTATTGAAGTTTATCATTATCAATCCGATGAGCTTTCTAGCTTTGGATACTTGAGATATAAGGTGTTCAGAAAAGTTCAGACTGTTGCTATATCTTAAACCCAGGTCACAAACAGTGTTGAGAGGTTTGAGTGTATGTGTCTGTACAGTCAGATTTAAGTTAAGACAACGACCAATATGAATAAATCCACTTTTATCAACATTAAGTAGCATATTCCACGAAATAGTCCATTCGTACAACTTGTTTATTTCCTCTTGGATTACCACTGAAATATAGCTTTCTTTCGTGGGAGAAGAGAATGAATAAATTACTTTCAGGTCACCAGCAAAAAGAAAAGGCTTACCATACTGAAAGAGGGAACACACATCATTGATAAAAAGAAGAAAGAGTAATGGACCAACCACACTTCCTTGTATAACCTCACTGGTTACATTTACAGGTTTAGAGTAGCAAGATCCAAAGCGAACGATTTGGCTACGTTCTTCTAAAAAAGATTTGAGCCAAGATAAAAGGGGATTCTGTATGCCAAATAAAGAGAGTTTTAAAAGAAGAAGTTTGTGTGAGACACTGTTGAAAGCCTTACTAAAATCGAAGTAAAGAATTATCACTGACTGACTAACATCTCTGCTCTGGGTAATTTGATCAAAAAAATCCAGGTGCGATGTGAAACATGAG